ACAACACGATGGCAGGAACAATCCAAGTAGCCGGAAACAACGGACAGTAAGCAGGGAAGGGCTAAGGACAGCAGCTGATTTTGCATGCCGAGTGCAGGTGTGCCAGATATTACATCGGTCTGGAGGCCCTGACCTGCCCAGCCACCTTTCTAACGGCGAAACCAGGATCATACACAAATTCTTCATATTGTGTAGAATCCAGATCGCACCGAAGAACGCGGCATCCCACAGATGTAACCATCTCTTGCTCGAAGATTCCTGTGGTGAAGAGCTGCTCATGAAGGCCCTTCCAGGTCAGAGTTTCGAGCATCGCGCCACGCTGGGCATTACACCTTCTGTCTGTGGTGTGTCATCCAGGAAGAGGACGTCTGAAGTAGTCATACGAATGTGTTGTTTTTTTCTTGGCTATGACACGATGACGAAACAAACATGAAGCCTGAGCTCCGATGGACAAGGCACACAACGACTATGTACAGGCCGAAACTTCTCGCAGACTCAGGGTGAGTGGAGGCGCCTCCGGCACACGGCACATGGGCAGATGAACTTAGGAGAAAATGCCGTGCTGTCGGTATAGAGCTGCAATGCTTGAAGCGCTCGGCAGCAGGGTTACAAACCGCAAGCGCCATGGTTCAGAAACCTCGTTCGGTTATACCAAGCTTGCCGGCTAATAACAGTGCCTGTGCAATCGGATGGTTTCGTTCCCAGCTGGCAGCATGCAAGACTCTTTTGGCCCTGTGCTGATGCAACAGAACCGCTAGGGAAAGTCAATATGAGTGCGTCACAGGTGTGTAGTCCGTGCATGCACACTCTGTTGGAACCAAACCTTGCTAGTGTTGCCAACTGAGAAGTAAGTCTTCACCTGATCTGGCGAATGTGTCTATTGACTGCCACCAGCCTCAACAGCGAGTGCGGCGGCTTCGTGGTGAAGAAGAGATCCTTCACCTCATCACTGCCTGAGCTTGGCAACACATGGAAGCGTTTAGCAGCAGCAGCAGCAGCAGCAGCAGCAGCAGTAGCACAAGAAATGGAAATAGAAGCAATAGTCGTAGTAGCAGTCGTAGCAGTCGTAACAGTAGCTGCAGTAGGTGGCAGAAATGGCCGTAGTAGCAGTAGTAGCAGTAGTAGTCCTAGTAGTAGTAACAGTAGCAGTAACAGTGGCAGTGGCAGTAAGAGTAAGAGTAGGAGTAGGAGTAGGAGAAGGAGAAGGAGGAGTAGTAGTAGTAGTAGTAGCAGTAAGAGTAGAAGTAGGAGTAGGAGTAGGAGTAGGAGTAGGAGTAGGAGTAGTAGTAGTGGTGGTAGTAGTAGTAGTAGTGTAGTAGTAGTAGTAGTAGAAGTAGAAGTAGTAGTAGTAGTAGTAGTAGTAGTAGTAGTCGTGGTGGTGGTGGTGGTGGTAGTAGTTGTAGTAGTAGTAGTAGTAGTAGTTGTTGTTGTTGTTGTGGTAGTGCTAGTGGTAGTGCTGGTGGTGGTAGTAGTAGTAGTAGTCGTAGTCGCAGCAGCACCACCACTAGTTGTTGTTGTTGTTGTTGCTGTTGTGGTTGTGCGGTCGCTATGGCAGCGGCGGCGGCGGCGGTGGTGGTGGTGGCGGTGGCGGTGGCAGTGGTGGGGGGGGGGCAGGGGGGTGGGGGGGGGGCAGGCGAGGGAAGGGCAAGGGCGGGGGCGGGGGTGGGGGTAGGGGTGGGGATGGTGGCGGTGGGTGGCGGTGGGTGGCGGTGGCGGTGGCAGCGGCGGCGGCGGTGTCGGTGAGCTAGACATTCTCATGCGTATGGTTCAACTCCCGTCCGCCAAATCCCGCCAAAAATTAATTCATATTGTTCCTTAATATGAACTAATCCGCCTCCTTCATTCTCAATCTTTTCCAGATGCTTATTCGTTTTCTTATGTTTCGCCAAAGTACATTTCAGAACATCACAATCACAAACATCACTATGAACCACCAAGGAATTATACAATCTTCTTTCTGCCATATGCGTATCGCGATATTCTTTATTCTTTGTCAAAAGCTCTTCCTTCATCCTTTCACGATAATCTTTATTCTGCTCCGTCCGTTTATCCTTATTCATTTCTCTATGCAACTTCATATTTTCTATACACCGCCTACAGTACACGACATGTAACCTTCATCAAATTCCTCCACCCTCCGATTTCTCCGACAAGTACAGCAATTTTTCCTAGGTGCTAGTTCATTTACACACACTCTACACATCTCCGCATCGATTTCAAAAAACTCATCAGCGCGTCTCCGCTTACATCTATTACAACATTTTATAGAATTCACCATAACTAATAATACTACATTGTCTTTAAGACAAAAACCCTTACCCCCGCAACATCCAAAAGCCCTTCACCCAACCTTACCAATTATCCTATAACCGCCCTTACCACCATCCCTACCAAAAACCAAACCCCAACAGAAAACCCTTATCAAAACACCTATCCACGAACCTGGGCATGAACCTTATTCAATTTTCACAACCATGTATTATGAAAACTAAAAGGTAGTATTATTAGTTATGGTGAATTCTAGAAAATGTTGTAAGAGATGTAAGCGGAGACGCGCTGATGAGTGTTTTGAAATCGATGCGGAGATGTGTAGAGTGTGTGTAAATGAACTAGCACCTAGGAAAAATTGCTGTACTTGTCGGATAAATCGGAGGGTGGAGGAATTTGATGAAGGTTATATGTCGTGTAGGCGGTGTATAGAAAATATGAAGTTGCATAGAGAAATGAATAAGGATAAACGGACGGAGCAGAATAAAGATTATCGTGAAAGGATGAAGGAAGAGCTTTCGACACAGAATAAAGAATATCGCGATACGCATAAGGCAGAAAGAAGATTGTATAATTCCTTGGTGGTTCATTGTGATGTTTGTGATTGTGATGTTCTGAAATGTACTTTGGCGAAACATAAGAAAACGAATAAGCATCTGGAAAAGATTGAGAATGAAGGAGGCGGATTAGTTCATATTATGGAATAGTATGAATTAATTTTTGGCGGGATTTGGCGGACGGGAGTTGAACCATTCGCATGAGAATGTCTAGCTGGGGGTGGGGGCGCCGGCCGCGGTGGTGGTAATTGCAAGCCTGGCATGCCTTTACCACTCAAACTCACAAATGCCGAACTTGAGAAGAGGGCCAAGGGTGGGTAGCCGGGGAAGGGAGGGGCGACTCGTCACGCGAATCTATTGCCACACAGCAGTGCGAGCTTCTCGAGCAGGCCGAAGGTTGGCATAATTATGCACAAATGAAAAATGTCCTGTGTATATTGGCAATTTCGGGCCGTCTCTTGCCAACCACTTTTCTGCTTCCCAGTGGGTCAAGGACATTTTGTCAGCGATGTGCTCAAAATAGTCGCTGCTAAATGCTGACTTGCAAATTTCGCTCGCAAAAGAAGCAGGCGGGGCTGAATCATTCATTCCGCCCCGTGTTTCGTATTGTCAAACCACCGGAAAAACTCTTCATCACTACTACTGAGGTGAATTTGTACAGGACAACCCCCAGAAACTCCACAGAGCTAGAAGTTGTGATCATGAACCACGTAGTCAAGACTTCAAACCATCAAGCGACCATCGCCAGTCATAGCCAAAGGGCAGGCCAACCCCAGCGGCGTCTCCCCACTTATCATGCGCTTGCCCTGGGCAGGGAAAGGTTGCACAGACAGACGTTGAACTTTGCAGCTCCTCACTCTTAATAATCGGCCCAAACGATAAAACCGACCAATCAGAAGATGAAGCGCAATGAAGGAAGAGCTTCGAGATTCGTAACAAGCCCCAAAGTCCACGAAGACTCCTGCAGGGCCGTTGCTGAGCTTGAGGCCATCTCGGCACCGGCCTCCAGCAACAACCGCAGACATTGCTTGCGGCCTGCACTCTGATGGCGTTCAGCTGAGGAGGGAATGGCGAAGAGGAGGTTCCAGTTTGAGGGCTGTGAAAGTGAAAGCCACTCGGCTTGGGCCCCTCTCGATGAGTTTATGCACTATGTCTCATAATATTACGAAGTATGACGGACTATGCCTGACTGTGCATGCAAGCGTTTGTGCACAAATATACATATAAACATAAACACATATAAACACATATACACGTACACATACACGTATATACGTGCATATATACATGCATACCTACCTACCTACGTACATACATACATACATATGTATGTGTATATTATATATATATATGGAGAAGAGAGATGAGCCCGCTATAGTTAACTAGGTTTTGATATATGCAGTATCAAATGCCGAGCGAAATAAGGGAGGGGAGGGAGGAGGGAGGCAGGAGGGAGGGAGAGGAAGCGCCGCCACATAGGCCCTTGGGTCAGGAGCCAGCGGGCGCACCCTGCCGAGAGGCAGACGGCCCACTGCAGGCAAAAATGTGATGGCTTAAAATAATTCAGGCAAATATAATTATCAGTATCCAAAATAACAAAGTAATTAAAGATCGGACCTATTTCGACTCTCACTCACGCACAAGGCAGGCAAGGCTCCACTCAATCCCGTCACGCTGGCGAACAACCCGGCCAGGGCATCAGGGTACCAGGGATTAAATGATTAAATATAGCCTGTATCACCACTGACATCAGGTGCACCCGCTGCTGCTCAAGCCTTCAATGTGGCAGCAGGTTGAGTTAGCGATTTCCGAGGTCTTGCGGTCGCCTCGCCTTTGCAGCAATCAGGATCCTGTGTTTCTCTGCTTTTCCTGCTTCTCTTTGGGCATTTTCGTAGGCTTTGGCCTTGGAGCTCTCGTGCTCTCACCTTCGTTGCAAACACGGGTGGGGCGAGTGACTCGACTGATCGCTGAGGCCTTGCTCACGAGAGAACCCGAACAAGTTCAGAGAGGGCAACATGGACCTGTTGCTCAGCAATTACGACTGCGTCGACGGCCGTTCCTTCTCCCCGTGGAAGATTGAGTTGGTTGTATGCTTGGATTGGTTAATCTGGTCCTGTGCTGTAGCATCTTCTTCTTGACAGCTACCTCCTGGCTCCTGTTTCGGCGAGGGCGGCAATGGAGCCAGACTTTGCCAGTCCGGAAGAAGATGCCGGAGACCAGCAAGTGACCTTCCAAGATGCGGAGCTAATGAACGAAGCCAGAATCGTGGGTGAGGGTCCTTCGCCGTCTTTCTACTTGGACATGGGCCAAACCATCGTCGAAGTTGTTGTGATCTCATCGGATTTTGCACCTCAGGGGTGTTCGGAGCCGATGACATTGCTGGCGTTGCCGGGCAAAGCACTTGGGCGACGAAAGGGCGCCCAAGCTGGGCATCGTGCAAGTTTGACAGTCCCAGTCACAGGTCCGTTAGATGCGTTGGATGTTGGGCTCAAAGTCGACGTTGGTGTTTTCACCGTGGTCGACAGCCTCTTGGGCGAAGACGAGCTACCAGACCCTGGAGCCGATACTTTCAGCTTCCTGGACGCTGTTGGGAATCCACTCAGGAGCAGCAGAAACAGTGGCCTCAGGGTGGTGGACTTCGAAGCTGCAGGCTGCCAAGGCAAAGTCTGCGCCGGCCAAAGCTGCGGGGTACTCGCGGCCTTCCGCACTCAAACCGAAGTCGAAGTTTACGGTGAAACTTCCGGGGCCACCTTTGCTGGACGGAGCCAAGTTGGTCGAGTCCGGTGTCGACGCAGCTTCTGCGCAGGCGATCTTGGATGCTTTGGGCCAAGGGGCCACGCACAAACCCTTCTGAATGCCATTCCTCCAGCTTTGCCTGCGGCACCTCTGGACGATGGCTTGGGATTGGGAGAGCTCGCAGACAAGAGCTTGGCCTTGCAGGTGCGCTTCTGAAGCTCACAGCTGTTTTGGCGGAGCTGCAGCCGCAGAAGAAAGCGAGGGGTGCTCGAGAACTTGGCTGTTTCGGCAGGCTTTTCGGATTCTGCAGGAGTTTCGGCAGCCGGACCCTCAAAAAAGAACGCCCAAGCCCGTCTAGCTTTGAGGGGAGCTCTGCGGGACCAGTCGATGCAAAAAAGGCAGGAGTGTCGCGCAAGATCGGCGAAATAGTCAGGTCTGCGTCGGCTCCGTCCTCGGCAGGAAGCTCAGGAGGCACAGTCCGTTACACCTTCGTCTCCGGCCATCGCCACTCCGCAACGGCTCTGGATGCGCGCCCTGCGCTGCACTCTCGATCGACTGCCCACCAAGGTGCAATCCTCTGGCCTGCGATCGCATCGGACGTATGGGGCGAAGCGGTGCTTGGGCATCTCAAAGACAGGATTGGCTGGGAACAGCATCGGGCTACTGCGTTAGGGCGCCGACGCCAAGTACCTCTGTTGCCTCCGAGCGACCCTTCTCCTGCTGCTGGCACTGGCACGGACGAAGCCGACGCGCACCAGCAGGGCTCCAAACGGCGACCGCGCCCGAAAGCAATCCAAAGTCGGGAGCCTTGCGAAGGGTTCTCGAGGTGCCAAATTTGAAACTTCTTGCTGCCCTTGGAGGTGTCTTGCCACTCGAAGCCATCAGTTTGACGCTTCCTTTGGTTTTCCTGGAGAAGGAATTGAATCAGCCTGGAAACAGGCGTACGGTCACAGTGGTGAGAAACTGTTGCAAACGCCCGCCTCGCTCAGTGGAGTTCTGTACAGTTTGGCCCACACAGGCGGAGCAAAGTTGACTTCTTTTCTTCGGGACGTTGCTCACGCTGTACGTGAGCAGGGTCCGGTTTTCCTGAAAGCTGCGACACATCTGCCTCGCAAGGTGGATCCCCAGTAACCGAATTTCTTCCGCTGCCCTACCCTGAGATTTATAGAGCCAAACGGAAAGCGCATCCTTCGGACAAGCGTCTTGCGAATCTGACTGTGCTAGTTTTGAACTGGCTGGGTGCTGGCTCGCCGTCGAAGCTGCCACGGCGGACCAGCGCCAAAAGAACCCAAGCACTTGGATGATGTAAACTGCCGTGTGATTCCGTTCGGTCGTGTCTCGTCATAGACTTGAGCATGTCTTGGCGGTGCTGCAAGCTTGGCATGGGGAAGAGGCCCGGAGTGCTGATGAACTTGGTAGGGCTGAAGACAAGTTTCGTGCCACGTCTTGTGTCTTGAGAAAGCTTGAAGCCTTGACCGCTGAGTTTTTCGTGCATTTTTCCAAGTATTCTGGTTTTAAGCCTCCAGTCAGGACCCCGTTATGTCCAAGGAAGGCGAGGGACCCTCTTACTGTCAAAGTGGGGCATTTTTCCGAGCCTGTTGAAGGTGCTAGGCCTATCGTTTCTTCCAGACCTAAGGTGACTCCTTCAATGCTGACCTGATTCTGACCGCTGTTCATAGGCAAATCATGAACGATCCTAGATCTGCTTCGCGGCGAGCCTCCTTTTGAGGCCTGCCCGAGGGTCGAGGCCTCGAGGGCTGATGACCCTGACCTGCCTCCTTGGGACGAGCGGGTTGGCCTTTTTACGGTTTACAAAGAGGCCGGGCTCGACCGTTTGATAGTCGATGCCAGGCCCCCCAACAGGCTTGACAGAGCTTTGTGTCATTGGGTTCAACACTTGGGACACCCTGCTTGCCTTTCGGATCTTCATTTGGATAGCGCTGAAGTTCTCGCCATATACAGCTCGGGTATTGTCGATTTATATAATCGTTTTGTAGTGACTGGGGACAGAACGCGAAGAAACACTCTCAAGAAGACTTTGAAAGCGTCTGCACTCAGGCACTTGAGTTGTTGTCCGCACGTGCCTGGAGACACCTGACATCGCAATCAGTCTGAAGATTCTTGCGATCGGTGATCTTCAAGCAGTTGAGATAGATAGCTCAGGCCGCTCATAGCCTCATCTGCACGGTTGCCGGGAGCGTCTCTGACCGATCTTTGATATCCAGACTGCTTCCTTTTCCGAGACTTGGGTTTGCCTCTGGGCTGTGCATAGATGATTTTGCTGCTTTTGAAGTTGAGAAGGGCTGCAGGGATTTCTTTCGCCACCCGAGTCTGCTACAGGGAACCGGCGTTTAGAATCCTTGAAGCAGGCTGACCGCACCATCGGTCTTGAGAGTCATCCGAAGAAGGAGGTTCGTAGGGCTTCTAAAGCCGTTGTTTGGGGAAGCGAGACTGATGGCATAGCTGGAACTCATGCCGTCCCTCGGGCGAAGCTCATCGCTTTAGTTAGCTTGACGACTGCTTGCATTGATCTTGGTCGCGTTAGTGTATCATTACTTGAGAGTTTGGTAGGAATGTGGGGTGCTGTCGTGTTGCATCATCGTAGATCGTTTTGCTTGCTTGATCTTTGCTATGAAGCAGTCAAAAGATTCGACCGAACGGACGTGATTCAGATGAGCCTGAGGCTCAAGCAGAAGTTCCTCTCACTCTGCATTCTGGCCCCACTCATGTATGCTGATCTGCGAGCTGGGTTTAGTAGCGAGTTGCAGACGGTTGATGCCAGCTCAGAGAAGATTGCTGTGGTGAAAGCTGAAGTCCCTTCTCATGTTGTCAAGGAACTTAGTCGGCACTGTCTGAAGAAAGGTCGGTGGGCTCGGCTTCTCAGCCCTGCTCAAAACTGGTTGCGCGAGAAGGGCCTTTCGTCTGAGGAGGAAGAGTTGCCCGCTGGTGAGCTTCTGGAGGAAGCATCCACTCCGCTCTTTGAGGGAGTAGTGCCTGCGCTTCGTTTTGAAACAGTACAAGTCAGTTCATGCAGCCAGAGGGACCATATCAACCTGTCTGAATTGAAGAGCATTGGTGCTGCCGAGCGACGCCGTGCGAATTTCAGCCCTCGTAGCCGACCCCTAATAGGGGGAGACTCGCAGGTTGCAGTGGCTTCGGTGATGAAAGGGCGTGCCTCGAGTAGGGTCTTAAATGACCAACTGAAGTGTATGCTGTTTGATGTCATCACAGGTCGTTTGTCTTCTCGTTTCTTTTGGATTGCCAGTAAGCTCAATCCTGCTGACGACCCTACTCGAGGAACACCGTTACGGAAACCCCATGCTCCCGAACCTGCTTGGTTTTCCAGTTTAAAACGAGACCCCAAGGACTTTGATGCCCTTGATCGTCTCCTTTGTTCTTTGTATGGGCCTGCTGAGGGGCCATCTCTTGGAGAGTTGGTCCGCCAGCACTCTGTGGAGCAGCCAGGCGTGCTGCATTCTCTGTTTGGAACGATTCATGCCAGCTGCACAGAAGGCGACTGCGAAGTTCACGACTCCGTCGTTGAAGGTTGCAATTCGTTGGCCTGTCGCAAGAACCCCAACTTGAGCGGCTTCCGGTGCTCTGCTGGTTACCCCCCACTCTAGTTCGGTTGAGTCTTGCTTTGGGTTTGAGGAGATGCAGGCTTCTTCGGTTGTTTCAGAGGGTTGCAATCACGCTTGTTTTGATCGTGGGATCTGCTCAAGTTCCTCCGGTTTTCCACTGCCCTCAGATGCACTTTCTTGCCGCAAACATGATGACGACTATGACGGTTTGCAGCAGTTCTTTCCGGTGCAAGTGCATGTGAAGCAGCAGCCTTCGCGTGTCACCTGCCAACTTGGTTGCTGAGCCATCCTGCTGTCTCGCGAGCCAGGTTTTTACGCACGAGGGGAGCCCCGACGAACTGGAGTCCTTGTTCGCCAGGAGTTGTTTGCTTGTGGGGAGTTCCTAGTCAATGGGGAAAGCTTGTGTTGGATCGCGGGGCTCCCTGGATGCTTGCTTTCGGTGGCAGCGGTTGCTCCAATGCAGATCCCTGCAATGCCGAGAATCAAGTTCTTGTTGAGGCGCTCGTTCGTGAATGGTCGGTTGCTGCCTTGGGAGTTTTTCCTCAGTGCTCCTCGTTTAGTGCTGTGATAACCGCGCGGGCCCCGCCTGTCCGAAGCTCGACTTTCGTAGCTGGGAAGCCGCATGTGTCGCCTGCCATTCTTGAGAAGATTAGGAGTGAGAATAAGGTGAATACTTGGTGTGCCCGGCTCTTGCGCGAATGTTTGAAACCGAGTGTGCGCTTTTGGGTTGGGAGCCCCAGCTCCTCGTTCTGGTGGAAGCAACGCTCTTTCCAGAAGTTGCTTAAACTTTCAAAAGGGAGTCAAAGCAGCCTTCTTTCGGCTTGCATGTTTGACCTCTGTCACGCCGGGGCCCCTTGGACACAAAGGACGTTAGTGCTGACTAACTTGGTCTGCCTAGCCGCATGCTTTGCAGTAGAGACCATAGCCACCAAGTCTTAAGGGGCTCTGGACCCGGAGATCATGCATGGACGCAGCTGGCTCGAATGTGCCCAGTTGGGTTCCTGCACGTTTTAGCTGACAGTGCAGCTGGTGCGGCGGGGTTCGCGCGACTTCCTTCAAGGTGGGATCCTGTTGCGATGCTGCATGCTTTTTGCCGTCACGCGCGCCAATGTGCTGTTTCAAGCGACACTTTTCAAACTAGCAAACGGGAACGTAAGTTCTATGCCGTTGTGGCTGATCGCAACTTAACCATCCTTTTGCGCACGTTGGGTTTAGGTTCTAAGCTGCGGGTTTGGTCTTGTTTGCGCAGGGCGCTCGTCCTCGCCTGCCTCTCCAAGTACAGTCGCTTCCAGAGACCAAGATCTCTTCTGCTACTGCTGCTAGGGAAGCTAGGGCTGTAGCTGCCTTTCAGACTTGGCTCATCAATCTCGAGATCCGTGTCTCTTTGCCAGTGCTTGTGGAGCTCGGTCGTTCTCTTTACGACTCTGATGGTCCGTATTCTGGCTTTGTTTATGCCACTACTGGCCTGCAGACTTTAAACTTGCGGTTGAAACGCAATCTCCCCTGCTCTTGGGATTTCGCGTTCATCTGGCGTTCTCTTGAGCCGGTAGTTCACCGAAGGCCAGTCGACGAAGCGCCCGTTTTAGCGATGGTTGGAGTTGGAGCTGGGTTTGGGGTTGGCTTCGATTTTGTGAGAGTTTGCTGTTGATGTTTTTCGGGGCGCTTAGGTCGATTGCACCTTTACTTGCCTTCGAGTGCATCTGATGTTGCCTGAAGACACGATGGGTACTGTTCGGGCTCGTATCTACCTCAAGGTCGTTAGTCTTAAGACTGCTAATCGGGGTCTCGGCCGTCAGCAATATGCTTCGGTCGACCACCCTTTGGCAGTCCAGTCGATCGTGTCCATCTTTGGCAGTTTGAATTTGCAACACCAGCTTTGGCCCGGTTCCCCCTCAGCTTTCCGCCGAAGGTGGGATGCTGTATGCAAGACGTTAATTTTGCCTGAAGCAGTGGCCACTTTTCTCGGGGCTCTTCTTGTACCGCTCGAAGAGCTTACCGCAGCCATCCTTTGTGCAGTTAGATGGCTGGGCTGAGTGTGTGTCATGCGCCAACTCTCACCAAACAAGCAGCGCAGGAAAGCTCAGGAGGATGGTGATGGATAAATATAGATAAACTAAATAAAACTGCAGACCCCAGCCAAGTCATCCAGAAGTGATTGCTCCTATACGACCTCCTCTACTCGAACAGCCCATCCTTTCGCGGACCATCATACTGTTTCAACATATCTCCTCACATACCTATTTCAGTATTATATTTAGACTTATTTTGATCATTAAAACCCTCGCGGATTCTTCTTAAAGATACTTTAACTACGGATGTTAATAATTTTGCTTATAAAAATTTTTGCATATGTAAAACATGGCGGTTTAAAGCAGTAAAATCTTGGCCAAAGGTATTCCTTATGAAGATTTCTTACTGGTTTTTAAGAATTAGAACAATGAAACTAGGTGAAATTTTTGAAACAACGTAAATCGGGCCTAATTGTGCCTAATCATTTTGGTTGTTTTGAATAGCAAAACCCTCGCGGATTCTTCTTAAAGATACTTGAACTACGGTTTCATTATTGTGATGATTTAAAAATTGTAGTTAATTAATTAAAATAATTAGAATCCTGGCCCTAGGAGCTCCTTAGGAAATTTCCTACTGATTTTATTAGTTAAATCATTTAAACGGTTCAAACCATGAAATTCGGTCAATTGAATGATTTTGCATATCTTGATAATTGGGGGGTGCCCAAGGTAAGTATTATGATTAAAATTCTGACCTATCTAACTATATTACGTATTTTAACTATTTTGCCTATTTTGATTATGAAAACCCTTGCAGACTATTCTTAAAGATGATTTAACTACCTAGAATAATGAAAAATATAATGAAAATCATTAAGTTCGGTCCCTTTTAATTGTGTTAACTCTTGTAAAAACTGGAGATCCAAAAATTGGTAAACACATAAAAACCATCAAAATCGGGCCTATATAATTGATCTGAATTGTTGAGTTATTGTGACTTCATTTGGTTATAACAGAATAACCCTGGAGTCAAATATACCGCAAAGTTGTCTTTCTCATATATATATATATACATTTATATATACACACATCAAAACGTCTATACATGTGTACATACATACATACATACATGCATAGATCCATGCATGCGTGCATGCATGCATACATACATACATACATGTACGTTTAGGCACATATAGACACATGTACATACATATGCATATATGCGTATGTACATATATTTTTAACACTCGCACTCGTGCATATACATGCAAATATATACACATACATGAAGAATACATATACAAATATATAAGACTATATACATATGCACATGTGTATACATATATATGTGTGTGTATGTGTGTATGTATGTGTGTATATGCATATATGCATCTGTGTGTGACTGTGTGTGTACCCGAAATGCACATACGCATCTCCAGCGGAGAATACCTATGGACACGGATCTGAAAAGTGAGCTGAGCAAGAGCTGCCTCCGCAAATCATCCTGGAAGCTCGGAAGGAAAGCCCAGTGCCGCAAAGAGAGCAACAGAGGCTAATGATGTGCACTGCGTTGCAGTGCCTTCCTGTGAGGCGACCAGCAGCGGAGTGGCCCCATCTGCAGTTGCCTCATGCTTCTTGCAGCCCTGACACTGATAGATCCCGGCTCAGCTCTCGCAATGGGACCCCAATTCATCTGCAGCCACATCTTTGGTAAGACGCAATGGCTTACCAGGGAATCTTTAACTGCTCGCTATGAGCTTTGCAAAAGCTGTGGGGAAAGGCGCAAATGTAAGTCCCAAACCTGTTGTAAAGTTGGAACGTCATAAGAGGCACAGCTGAAATCCTACCTCGGAGCCACAGGTCCCAGCCCAAACCTCGAAGTCCCGAAGCGCACTCGGGCTAAGGAGCCTTGTTGACATTGGCCTTCCCTTCCAGGAGGGCCTGCACGACTTCGTCCTGGAAAGCTCTTAGCTTGGTCAAGACAAGGCGACAAGGTCTTACAACCCTGTTCCATCCAAATAATGATACGCAATGCAAGCCTCACAACTTCTGCCACTGATCGTGCTTGCTGCTCGTTGCACTCCCATCGGAACTGTTGCATGTTGATTGGCTACACTGCATTGGCTCTTGTAGGTGTTTGGCTTAACTTGAGCACAGACGCACCAGCAACACAAGACACAACCATGGCTACACACGGGAGCCACACAAGAAGGCAAGATGCCCACAGGACGCACGCACTGCTCGGCGTAGCATTGATAGGTACTGATAGTTCTGCAGTTCTGCACAACACGGTACGGACCTGCTGCCTCAGCCTCAAAATGCGGACACCATTTTTCTCACATGCTACACCCGGAACGCATTAAACCGCATCGCCCACTTCCCACCACTAAACTAAACGAAGAATGGACGTGAGAAGGCCTACCTAGACTTACTAGCCCAGGGGCTGCTAAAGACTTTTAAGGCTTGGGCTTCAAGTTGGACGAAATTTCTCACCCCAACAGAGATCAGGCACCAAACGACTCTCTTTGCACTTCGAGCTTCGAAGCCTCCACATCCTGAACTCGATGCTCTCTTGAAAAAGACTTTAAAGCGCAGGAAATTAAAGCAACAGCGAGGCCTTCCCTCGCAAGGTGGCCACAAAGAGTGCCGTCTCGCCGGAGGGCGTGGCTGCATCCTTGTCCGCACCTTGTATCTAAAACAGATTCAACTCTGAAAGCTTCAAGCTGCCAGCCTCTTGGGTGGCGGTGGAGATCTGCTGAGCAGCGGATTTGCGACTCTAGCCTGGAAAGCGAGGCCTGGCTACTGCTCCTACATGGCCATGGGTCGTGTTGAAGAGTCGGCGCGAACTGTTGGCCCAACATCCAGGCTGAAGGCAACCACTCGTTCTCTTCTGCGCAACTTAAAGAAGCAAGTCAGCTCCCGTCTTATCTCTATGGTCGAGCCGTGGTGACCGCAGTGACAATGCCTAACAGGTCTTACAAAATCATTTGATGGGCAGGTTGGTCGACGATGATCTGATTTCTGATCCTGAGCCTGTGGCCTGCCACCATCAGCCTCTTCACGATGGGGACCTGCGGTGAAAGTATTACCTACTACAAAGGCGATAACACCGACGACGGCGACAACGACAACAACAACAACAGCAGCAAAAGCGACGCGGAGCGAGCGGACTCTGCTGCTTGCGGGCGAAAAGTCTGAACCCCGGTATGTGCCTTAAGCTTACACGCGGTGGTAAGGTTGCCCGCAGCTTCTTTCCGAGTGGCTCCGACAACCATACAACCCACTGCCCCTAAACCGAACCCCTAGTGCAAAGCCCTTGAACAAACTGCCAGGTAAGGAAACACCGCACTTCGAATGCAGACAGCGGTGGTTGGTATTGGACTCCGGCTCACGAAAGTACAGCAAATAACGAGTATAAAGGATGTGCTCTTAAACAGTCTTTAGTTGAATTGGTTGGTAGAGGGAGGCGCCTGCTCTACTACTACTACTACTACTACTACTACGACGCCGACGACGACGACTACTTCTACTTCTA